AAGAAAAATAAGCAGAGTTGCATAAAACAGGTAGATATGATCATATCTTGCCTGTCTTTTCTTAGACATACTCTTGCCTTCTGTGAATTCTGCATGAGAATTATTAACACAATGCTTTCTTTTTATCTAAGGTTTACTGTAGGCACTGAGAGTGACCTTTCAGGATCACCCAACTCATCTAGGTTTGCCTGGGACTGTACCTGTTTCAGCACTGGAAGTCCCTTGTCCCTGGAAACAACTCCATCCCAGGCAAACAGGGACAGTTACTCACCCTATGTCTAGATGGCTTCCTTAGTACAAAATACAGTGTCAAGAATTCACAGCCTGAATTTGTCTGTGCTTAAGATCTTGTGGTCACTTAAAGTGGCGCTGTGACCTCTGAGTGTAGTGTATTTTAAAACTGGGAGATTACTTTCAGTAGTCCCCAGTTTTTTTGCCTCTAAAACACACAGTACTGAGTGAATAGTGAGGCAGTGGGCAAGAGCAGGAGGGTTTGATTTCAGCCCATCACTCAGACCGCATTATTCTCCTTCTGCAAAACCGAGGCCTTCGTTTCAGCCAGGAGATTCTTAAATGCCTTTCAAATAGAGCCCACCCCTCCCCAATTCACTGTATTGATGAAGTCAGGTTTCTGGGCTGCATGGGAACCCCTTCTCACCAATTACCTTGAAATTTGGGAAAGCTATCTCTTCTTCACATTCCTAACACTGCCTCTGCCACGAAGCCTTCCTGGGCTTTCCCAAACATCCTATCAGTCTGAGAACAGTTTGTCCCCTCCCAAGCTCTGATGTGAACCCACTTCCCTCCACCCAGGTAGACCCTGTGGAAGTGGAACCTCTTCAGCGTCCGTTTCCCCACTTGTTAAATGAGGAAGATATCTGTCAAATATGACTTTATTAGAATTCCATCCCCATCATTCCACTGAAGTTGAAAACATCCTTTTCCCTAAATGTGAGCCATCTGTCGCTTCTGTTGCTTTACTTAAGCTATTTCTTGTGCAGATAAAACAGTACTCTGTGCAAAACACTCTTCGCTGTGATGAACATAGAATGCTCAATGGAGTGTTGGTACATAGCAGCTCCTCAGTAATTCTGTGTTAGTCTTCTAACTAATTGCAAGCATGGAATAAGAAGAATACAGGGGGCTCCAGTCTCAAGATGTATGTGACCTGGGCAGTATTTGAATTCAGAATCTATTCTCCAGAGTGCCTAATCTGAAATCTTGTGTCTAAGGAGATTTGAGCATCAGCAGGAGTTTGATTCTGAACGTGAAAAAACTCAAACTGGTTGTCCTCTTCTCACACCAAAACAACAATCAACAACACAGAAGGCTTCTGTGAGTAAGTGTAGGTGATTTCTCTCCACCAATAAATAAGCAATCAACCTGCAGCCGACACCATGGGTGCCCTCCAATTCAATTCTAACAGCTTCCACCCGGAGACAGCGTTACCTCCCACAGGGTGAGGTTCAGTAACACAAGACTGCCCCCTCCTCCTTCAAGCACCAGTCTCAAGTTCGCATCTTGGAACTTCTGACCAACTGGCTTCAAGTTGTGGGTCCCATGACCCCTTCTTTGGGTTTGATTAATTTGCTAGAGTGTCTCACAGAACTCAGGAAAACATGTGTTCCAGCTTATTATGAACTATGTTTTAAAGGATAGAAGCAAACAGTCAGATGAAGAGATACCCAGAGGGAGGTCTGGAAGGACCCCGAGCGCAGGAGTGTCTGTCCCTGTGAAATTGGGGTGTGGCATCCTCCTGGCAAGTGGATGAGTTCTCTGGTTCATTTCCCTGTCAGCCCCCATATGTTCAGCTATCTGGAAGCTCTCCAAATCCTATTCTTTTGGGTTTCCAAGGAGGCTTCATTATGTAGCCATGATTGATTAAGCCATTGGTCATGGTTGATCAACCCTGGAGATTGCATGGGGTGGGGAGGGCTAAAAGTCCCAATCCTCTAATCCTGCCTTGGTCTTTCTGGTGGCCAGCCCCATTTTGAAGGTACCTAAGGGCTGCCATCATTAGCATACAAAAGACATCACTTTGGAGACTCTAAGGATTTTAGAAGTTATATGCTGGGAAACATAAAGTAAAAGATCAGATGTATCTTTCATTGCATCACAGATTTCATGATACTCTCTTTGATAACATGAAAATGTTCTCATTTTTCCACATGAGTAGATTAAATCGACCAAAAAATTGTCTTATGGGAACTCCTTACATTTTTTAACATTTTGACCTGATTTCACACTTACAGGGCAGTGGTGAGAATAAATACAAAGATGATTGGGAGTGCTCCACCCAGAATCCCTCCATTTTGCTGCATTCACTTTTCTTTCATATGGACTCTTACACTCGGAAGGGAGTGTAGACGACATTTATTTTAGGATCCTTGTATTTGAGGTTAGGAAACTGGACCCAACCACTCAGTCTCCTGTCCATGGTACTGGCTGGTACCCACAGCCTCCAAGCCTCAGCTCAGCGTCCACTCCCTGTCCCCAGCCCCACATCACAACAGACCCTGTTTCAACAGCTCACTTCTCAAATGCTCAGAGCTGCAGTTGGCATGTAAGTGATGCCAACATCTCACAACCCTCCCAGATTCATCTGCAATAGACCTGTTCCCACTGTCAACTCTACTAGGCACACCCTGTGGAATATCAGCCTTATTAGAAGAACAGGTTTGCATCAGCAGGTGTTAACCTGCTTTGGAGAAATGAAATAGTTCACTGGAAAAAGTGAAAAATTATTATTTCTCTTTGAGACAGAATTTCACTCTTGTTGCCCAGGCTGGAATGCAATGGCGTGATCTCAGCTCACAGCATCCTCCATCTCCCTGGTTCAAGCGATTCTCCTGACTCAGCTGGGATTACAGACATGCACCATGCTCAGCTAATTGTGTATTTTTTTAGTAGAGATGGAGTTTCTCCATGTTGGTCAGGCTGATGTCGAACTCCCAATCTCAGGTGATCTGCCTGCCTTGGCCTCCCAAAGTGCTGGAATTATAGGCATGAGTCACCACGCCAGGCCAAAAAGTATTTATTTAAACCCCTCCTTAGTTTGAGGAAAAATGTTTCATTCATTATCCATGTGAAATTTTCATTGTCCTAAAGCCTCTTAATTTGTCCTTTTTATTTCCTAGTGAAAAGGAAAACACGTTTGTTCTTGCAAAATTGCACGGTGAAGACGCTCTGGGATATTGCCTTTCTTTCCTTCTCCTCTTTTGTTGAGCTTGGGGTGAGAAAAAGCACACAGGAACAAAGAAGAAGGAGAGGTGGAATTTGCTTTAGAGAACACTCTTTTGGCAAGCATCTCTTCACTGCTTTTCTCCTGCCAGTGGCAACAGCAGTCCCACTCTGCACCTGTGGCTCCTGCAATAATGAGTTACAGGCAACGCAGCCACTCATAGCCCTTACTGAGATTCCTACAGCAACAATCTGGGACTTATACATCCACTTATGGACCTAAAACAAATGAACAGGAGTAGGTTTCCTTTTCTGCAGCCAACCAGTTTATCTGGTGGAGCAAACTTTGCCTTGAACCTATGGTGGAACGGTGCCTGTGAAGAGAAGCAAGCGTGTTCTTCCCGTGTGACTAGGTCTGACTTGGGAGGGGTGGGCAATGCTGAGGCCTCCACTGGTTTTCCTCTGGCTCTTTCCAAGTTTCAGGTGAGTATGGAGCATTTCAGCAGGGAAAACCTTGACTGATGATAGAGAAGTTTACCTCCACTTCAACAGAAGTTGATCATAACTTCCCTTCAGGAAAGAGTTAGGAAGGTCTCTGAAAATGCTGTATTGGGTTTCACAAGTTGCACTGCAATATGTATACTCTCACAGGGCAGGTTAAGACCATAAACATACAAAACTCACAGTGCCCAGGTGTGGGGCCTCTGGATCACCTGCAGCTGGAGAATGGCCTTTCCATCTAAAACCGTGAAAGTAAATTGTAAGGGGGAGAAAGTCGGGGAGATGAGGTGAGCGATATGGACAATTCTCTTGATCTCATCTGAACCCAAAGCGAATGATATTTGTAAACCTGTCTTTGCAGATTTTCATATTTTCAGCTGTATGCTGAATGTTTAAATTCACCGCTGCTTTTCAGATCCTTATTACAAAGACGCTTGTTTGGAGAAGAGTTTACTCCCAGGTTAGGGGTAGGGCAAATGTCTTCCATTTCAACCACCAGAAACTGTGTTTCAAGTCAAGGAATAACGGTGATGGATTTCATCCTGAATTTCTATGTTTCTAAACCAACTAAAATGAAGCTGGAAGAAGCTTTGTATGTAGAGCACTGTTACACAGCAGCGTTCATTTGGCAAAGCATGGTGATAGCCCTAGAGTGTCACCTTACAAACCCACTGCAGCCTGCGGCATGTGCCGGAGAAAATCAAAGATGCACAGCCATCTCTGAGGAGAGGGACAGAGACCGAGGATCTGTTTGCATCTTCGAGGTTGATATTGAGATAATGTCATGAAGAGTGTTTTCTAGGGCATGGGTGGAGAAAAGTGGAGTTTCTTTAACAGGAAATCCTTTAAGCTAGAAAAATGTTCACGTAGCTATTGTAAAAATGGTCAAGTAGCCATTGTAACAATTGAGACCTTGGATCCTGATAGCAAGTACCCCTGAATTTGGAAGCTGAATGAAGAAAGCTAATCCCTTTGAGTCCACTTTGACTAGTTAGCCATTGTGGAGTGAGTGGCCCTGTCTGCTCTACAGGGCTCCAGGTGATGCTGGGAGGCTGAAAAGCAGCATAGGACTCACTGAAGCATCCTCTATCAGCTACAGGAACCATGCATCATACAAGTTAACAATCATCACATCCTTGAACTCCCTGCTCCCGTCCACACCACGAATGCCCTGGTGGCAACCGCCTCCTGCAAGCTCTTCAGGATGGCAGGCAGCTCACAGTAAGGCTCCTGCCTTCTGCCTCAGATGCAAAGGTTACCTTCCTTGAACAGTTTGGATGAGGTCCTCATTGACATTAAAAGGAAAATGAACATCTCAATTGGTATTTAATATCTTATTTTGTGGCACTTCAAAAAGCAATTTAGACTTTATATGAATTAGAAGGGTGCTTTTTACTCCCATTCAGATAAAATATGGGCAGGGAAGCCTGGACTCCTGGAGATGTTCCTACAGGAAGTCCATGGGCACCTGAGTAGTTGGAATGGGAAGGGACAGTTTGACCCGAGACTGAGCGTGAGCTCCTCCCAGGAACAAAGGCTTTGTGAAAATATCCTGTTTCCCATCCCTGGGAGAGGGTCAGGGTGGGTGGAAGGGTCAGAAGAAAGAAAGATCATCAAAGAAGAAAGTCAACTGAAAACTGGAAAAGAATGGACCCATCCCATTGTTTCCACTGAATTCATGTCATGAGAACAGACTCCTGGGGTCCCATTTCCTGTCCCTCCTGCACTTTTTCTCATGAGAATCCTGTCTCGGACTGTGGGCCTGTAACAGTTTTGGACAGTCAAGGGCACCAGGCTATCAGCTGAGAATAAGGTGTAGGGAAAGACAGCCTCCTTGGCAATCAAATAATTAAGCCAGAGAAATGAAGCATCCGCCTTTTATTAGACTCTCATGCCAGCTAAGTGTTCATTTCCTAAAGCATCTTATCTAGACCAGGGGAAGAGTGTAAAATGGAATGCAATCCAGCTTGCTAACATTACATCAGAAGCCGAGTTCAGTACTGCGCCTCGTCCCCTCGTGTTGCACTCGCCTAGCAAACACCCAAAACCATGCTAAATCTCAGTCCCAGAAAACAAACGGCTCAACCACCGTGGGAGGAGACCAGTTTTCTGAGATAGCTGGAGAAGAAAACAATCGATTCTCTTCTGTCAGGAATGGTTTGGTCTCATCTCCACTGAGAAGCTGGAGTGGAGCTGAACAATTTCATGGCTGTATCCTCTTTTTCTCTCTTTACAGAACCCACGTCCTTTTCCCATCAGGGCTGTAGAAAATAGGATATAATTGGGTCATTAGGTTCAGGCACAAAGGTTTGTCAAAAGGTCAATGGAGTGATATTTTCACAGCTAGCAAGATAGTAGTTTTCCCACTGAAAATGTGGGGGTGAGAGACATCTGTGCTTTCCTGATTTCCTATCAAGTTTAGACGGCTGCATGCAGGCGTAGATAGAGAGATGATAGAATATGGATTGGTACATACATGAGATAGATTAGGCAGACAGGTGCACTCTATAAAAGAGGAGATGAAGGGGAAAATTTAAAAAATGACAAAGGTTTTTTTTTGGAGTTTTTTGTTTGTTGGCTTGTGTTTTGGTTTTGTTTGTATTTACAACAGAGTATAGGGATTGTGAAGATCGTGGCTGAGTGAACTTCTGTCTGAAAGCCTTGCGTCTCTCTTCTAGCAGGGCTGTTACAAGATGACTCATCAGGACACCGAGCAGGCAACGTGGCAAGCCACTTTCTGCCAGATCACCTTTTCTAGAGGGCAGTGGGTTATATTCCTCAATGAGGGAGCCCAGAGGAAATGCTGGACCTCCATGGAAAAATCACCCCCATCACGGGAAGCAGACCCTGACCCTGGCTGCAGTCTTCACTCAGCTCTCCACCTTCTAAAAATAACAGCGCCAGGTCACTCTTCCTTCCAGCTGCAGGCGCAGGACAGGGACTTTCTAAAAAAAAAAGAAAAAGCACTTCTTCCTGTTTCACTAGTACTAGACGCAGATGGCCAAGGACTCCCCACACAGATGCCCTAAATTTCACGTCCAGCGGGACCAGGATGATGTGAAAGAGGGAAAACAGGCTGCTGCTGGCTGTGGGTAGAGAATCAGGAAACGGGACAGCCGTCTGTGGGGCTTTGGCCATCAGAGCCACAGGAAAGCCACTCACTGATTTCGCCTGTTTTCCTGCCCTCTCCACAAAGCAGAGGCTGGTGTTTTCGAGATGCTTTGGGTTGGAGCTGGATGTTGCATCTTCACTCAGAGTCCTCAGCGCACACATAAGCCGGTTCCTGGGTACTGAGTTCTGCCCTTGTGTGCTGCTAAGTGGTAGGGCCCTGGTTTTCTAGAAGAGCAAAGCAGCTTTCTATTATACTAAGGCCACCTGAGTCTCACCCTGGTCCTCAGGCAGCAAAGCAAAGTATAGGTAAATCTTCCTTCCACAAACAAAGGTTGAACCAGAGAGGCTCCTGTGCTCCCGAGGTACCCACAATGCTCTAAGAGCCTCCTGATGGGCCCTAGTGGTGAAAACACGCAATGGCCCAGCGCCAGGCCTCCGGGGACCTCTGCCTTCCCCTCACAGCATCTGTCCCATGGGTCTCTTCAGCCTCAGCCTCAGGCAAAACCTCTGGAAATCAGGAAATCTCCAGCTGTTTCCACAAAACCTCTAGCCCTTCCTCCTACTCTGCACAAACCCTCTCCTGGGAACTATATTAAAAATGAAATTAAATTTTATAAGAGCAGGTATTATATTGCCAATTCTCACTGTGTACTGTATAGGTACACAGACTGGGCTTGATCACATATGGGATTTTTGTTCTTTGTGTAACAATTTAAGAATCAAACACCTAGTCCACACTGTAACCTCCATTATAAAACTTTTCTGTTAATAAATTAGATTAGACTTACATCATTTCAACTTGTAGTGCCTTTCCCAGAAACATAACCAGCCATAAGTTCCAGGAATGCAGTTTTGACCACAGGGGAAAAAGGGGGTCAAGTCCAAAGACCTGGGTTCAAGCCCTTTCTCTGCTACTTACTGGCTGCATGTCTTAGGGAAGTTGCTAGGCTTCCTCCCATGTGAACTGTAATTAATGATAATAGCCACCTGCCTTGCTTGTTTTAATGATCAACTGTGAAGATAAAAATAAAAGCACATTATAAAGGCTTTCAGCCAGAAAGATAAACACCTTTCCTTGAAGCAATCGATAATGATGAAATCCATATAAGCCAATCAACATTTCAATGAATGTCCCATGTTCCATTTCCAAGGGGAAAAATTCTCTCCACAGAAGTTCATAAAAATAGGTAAGCATATTAGTTTTCTGGAGCTGCCATGACAAAGAACCACAGACCAGGCAGCTTCAACAACAGAATGTTATCTCACAACTCTGCAGGCTGGAAGTCTTGAGATCAAGGTTGGGCAGGACTGGGATCTCCTGGGGCCTCTCTCCTTGGCTTGTAGATGATGTCTTCTCTGTGTCCTCACGTGGTGGTCCCTCTGTGCGTGCCTGTGTCTTAATCTCTTCTTCTTACAAGGTCACCGGTCGGATTGGATTAAAGTCCACCCTAGTCACCTAATTTTAATTTCGCTGCCTCTCTAAAGTCCCTGTCTCTAAATACAGTCACGTCTTGAGGAACTGGGGGAGTTGGAATGGGACACGGTTCAGGACAAAAATTTCACCCATAAATTAAACTTGTTCATTTACTTTTTTCACTCTTTAATTTCAATCATCAAGTTCATTCAAAGAAAGGTCTCTGGTATAGTGAATCTAGAAACTTCTGGCAGGCCTCATTTTCTCTACAACTTGTTCTGTAGTCATACTTATCAAACCTGGGAACTTTCGCTTCTATAGAAGAAAAGGAACAACAACCCCAGGCAGAGTCCTGGGTTGGTCTGAGCCCCAGAGTGGGGCTGCTTCTCCAGCTCTGTCAGGGGAGAATTTGACAGTCCCGGGATGATGAACTTCCATGAATTTATTTCCCTCCAAAGCTTTTCAAAGTTTGCTGGGCCTTATTGCATTGCTCAATTCAGAAAAGAAAAGCTGACTTCCTGAATGCTCCTCACAAATAGTCTCCAAATCACCCAAGCTGACGTCACCATTCAGGGAACCCTGACCCTACTCTCAACAGTGTAGATGAGCCCAGGATGAGGTATAAAATAAAATTAATGAAGAGAAACTGATTTTACCCAAGAATGGATGCCAAAGCCACTGTTTTCTGGCAGGATAATTTGACAGAAATATGCTTACATGTTTCCATAAAGGATTTTCATCAGACGTTCCTTCAGTGGAGGTAATTCTCATATTTAGTAGAAAAAAGTATTTTTGTGTCCATTATGTAATAAACATTTGCTTTCTAGTAACAATTGCTTCTTATCTCTAAGCTAAAAACTTAAAATATACTTCACACTTAATATCTCACTTTAAAAATCTTATCACCACCTCTCTTGAGGTAACTAACATTCAGAAAGGTTTTTTATTTGTTTATGATTAAGAAGCTGTGTCCTGAAGTAACAAAAGAAAACATGCATTAATTGGATTTAATCAAAACTTAAAAGTTTTTGTTTAAGATACCATCAAGAAAGTGAAAAGACTCAGGCATGGTGGCTCACGCCTGTAATCCCAACACTCTGGGAGGCCAACATGAGTGATCACCTGAGGTCAGGAGTTCAAGACCAGCCTGGTCAACCTGGCGAACCCCATCTGTACCAAAAATATAAAAATTAGCTGGGTGTGGTGGCGGGCTCCTGTAACCCCAGCTGCCCAGGAGGCTGAGGCAGGAAAATAGCTTGAACCTGGGAGGCAGAAGTTGCAGTGAGGCAAAATCACAGCACCACACTTCAGCTTGGGCAACAGGGTGAGACTTCACCTCAAAATGAATAAATAAATAAATACCCACAGAACGAAAGAAAATATTCTCAAGTCATGTATCTGATAGGGGGCTTGTATCTGGAATATGTGCACTCAATAATAAAAATGCCAATAACCCAATTCCAAAATGGGCAAAACACTTAAATAGACATTTCTCTGAAGCTACACAAAAGGCCAATAAACACATGAAAATATGAAAAGATGCTCAGCCTCATTAGCCATCAGGGAAATGCAAAGCAAAATCACATTGAGGTGCCACTTCTCAGCGACTAGCATGGCTTCAATCAGAAAGAGACAATAGCAAGTGTTGGCAAGGATGCAGAACCTCGTACATTACTGGTGGGAATGGAAAATTAGACCTCTTTGAAAAATAGTCTGGAAGTTCCTCAAAAGGTTAAAGGCAGAGTTGCCATATAACCCAGCAACTCCATTCATCTGGATGTACCTAAGAGAAATGAAAACATATATCCACATGAAAACTTGTACAGTTTGAGTACTCATTATCCAAAATGCTTGCAACCAGAGATGCTTCAGTTTCCTGATTTTTTTGTTTGTTTGTTTGGAATTTGGGATATTTGCATATACACAATGAGATATCTTGGGGATGGGACCCAAGTCTAAGCGTGGAATTCAATGTTTCACACACACCTTATACACACATCCTGATGGTAACCTTGTACAACATTTCTAATAATTTTGTTCATGAAACAAAACGTGTGTACACAGAACCATCATAAAGCAAATGTGTCACTATCCCAGTCGCCCACATTATGGCTCTAGGCCCCATGTGAGGCCCTGTGGGGAACCTACTGTTGGTGGGTCTAGTCTGCACCCTTGCCATTGTATTACCCTTTGTAGGTGCGTTGTCCTGGGGGAAACCTGGGCATATTATGGAAAGATATTTCCCAGCTGAAAGGGGATATTTTTTCACCTAGGGATGCTGAGTCAGCTGTGTTGTGCACCTGCATTTATACTGGGACCCATCACATGAGGTCAGGTATAGAATTTTCCACTTCTGGTATCATGTTCATGATCAAAAAGTTTGAGATTTTGGAGCATTTTGGAATTCAGATTTTTGGATTAGGGATGCTCAACCTGTATATGAATGGCATCATTATCCATAACAGGCAAAATTCAGGACAATCTAAATGTCCGTCAGCTGATGAATGAAGAAATAGTGTGCTGTATTTCGCAATGAAATATTATTTGGTCACGGTAAGAAATTAAGTACTGGTACATGTTTCACGGATACATTCTGCAATAAACCTTGAAAATATTAGGCTAAGTGAATGAAGCCAGACACAAAAGATCCATTTTGTCTGAGTCCATTTACAAGAAATATGCAGAACAGGCAAATCTAGGGAGACACAAAGTAGATTTATGGTGCCAATGACTGGGGGTGGGAGGTAGAAAGGCAAAGTGGCGGCTGAGGGGTATGGGCTTTTTTGAGGGGTGATAAATATGTTCTCACCTCTAGCGTGAGGATGGTTACATGACCCTGAATCCACTAAACACCACTGAATTGCACACTTTAAATCAGTAAGGTGCATGGGATGCAAATTCTATCTCAATAAAGCTGTTATTAAAGAAAGAAAAAGCTGAGCCCTGCCACACCTCACGTAATGTCAGCTCTTCATTTAGCAGGTCACTGGGCCTGTTCCCACAGTCTTTAAAGAAAAGAGCGACAATATATATTTTAGCCCCACCCATGATTGTGAATGCTTCAGTAAGTTCAACTGGAAATATGACACACCTTCAGGAAATCTGTGGCAGGACCCATACGAAAAAAACATTTGGACTGGCAAGTAGAACTCAGGATCCACCCCATTCCTCAAGAGTGATGGCTGAGGACACACGCAGGCAAAAGGTCAGTGGTTGATGCGAGGAGAGACACTTAGAGCTCCTCCCCTCAGCATCCGGGATGTGCGTTCCGGCGGGCTTGCCTCCTGGGGGTGTGGTTGTACTCAGAAAAGACGAAGTCTCCGTGCACGTGTTGGGGGGCAACCTTGCCTATTTTATTCATCACTGTGTTTCCTGGCATAGCAGACACTCCATAAATACTTGCTGAATGAGTGAGTGAATATAAAGCTTATGCATTTCTTCCTTACCCCTCATGTCCTTAGCATTTGTCCTGAAATATGAGGCACAGCCATCTGGAAAACTGGCTTCCTGCGTGTCCTAGGAGGAACCTGGTCTCACTGCACAGCAGTGGTTTCCATCTTGCTCCTACCCGTCACAGGTATTTTAACTCGAAAGGAGAGATGTGATTGTTACTAAATACATAGTGGGTGCTGAGCTCAGTTCCCAATTGCAAGTGTGTAGAAAACATAACTTCTTTGTTCTGTAGGTGAACTGACATTGATGAGAAGCCCCATTCTGGACTAGCAGGGATGCCCTGCACCAACTTGGGGTCCCAGTGATTCCACAGGAGAAAGGAGGATCGCCTAGGGGTGGGTGGGGCCTCACGGTCCACCCATTCAGGGTGCTGTGGAGATGCCCTGCTGGCCCTTTGGTTGGGATGCAGGCAAGTCCTGGCTGCCCCTAGCTGTGGTATGATTATGAACTCCTCACGCCTGTCCCCTGCCACACCCATGCACCCCTGGGGTGCCCAGGAAACGTTTCATGGCTCCAGGACAGATACCTCCGCAAGGCTCCCAACCCAGTCCTCCAGACAAACCCAGCAGACCTCTCCTCTGTCCCTGCTCCAAGGTGGGCCCTCTGAGTTCAGCCCCAGATCCCACCTACACCACCAGCCCAGGGCATGAGGGGCAGAATACAGGATCCCCACGGAGGGCCACCACCCTCAGGGCCCACTTTCCCTCCAGTTGTCCAGTTTCCCAGCTCAAGAAATCCAGTCTGGAGCCCACTGTGAGTCCTGTACCAGAATCCAGGCTTTTCAGATTCAAAAGCCAAGAAATCAGCTAGTGTTACCTGTGCTCTACTGCGTTTTACCTAAGAATTATATTCCCTGGAAATAAAAGCAGAGTGGGCAGGTGCCCAGTAAGGAAATATCCAGGAGACCACTCTGTGTCACCAGTCCTGAAGATTCCACTGTAGATTTTAGAGAAATAAAGCATAGTGAGCGCTTCTGCGCCAGGCAAGCAAGAGGAGGGAGGGAGGCCTGTTGCTGTTGTACAAAGCGGATCTTCGGTCACAGACCCACCAGCTCCAGGTACAGCCAGCTCCCCCTAAGGACGAGATGAAATGGGGGTGGGTGGGCAGAGGCCTAGTCCTCAGAGTTGGAAGGTGAAATTCTTTCAGGCTTCTGCTTTCATACCTTCTACCCTGATTCTTTCGGAGGGTGTCAGGGCAGGTGTTCCTACTGCAGAATTGAGGTCTTCGACATAGAGGGAAGGCTCTGCTCTGCTGTCCCTGGGTGAACCTGGTTCTAGAGACCTCCTCCGCTGGGGACACTGGGAAAGAGGGGGTCTCAAACCCATGTTATGTCACAAGCAGCTGACACACGCAGAGAGCTTCTAGTTTAAACTAGAGAAAGGAGGTGTTAGAAAGGCTGGGGCCGATCCAGGTTGGCTTCAAATACCCCGAAGCTGTCAGAGAATCAAAGAGTGAGGAGGAAGTTACAGGGAAATGGGGTTTATTCAAATAAGAAAAATGAGATAGTTTTGGAGGGAGTTAGCACCTTGTCCCCAACTGCATCCGCGCCGAGGCTGACGGTCAAGGCAGGACCGTCATGAAAAAGGTTTTCCATTAAACAGAGTTTCATCCACATGATCTCTGAAATCACGGCTGACTGTTAAGAGTCTATGACTTCACTGTCCAGGTCAAGGTTGGCTGATATTGGATATTGAAGCAAATATCAAACCAAAGAGCCAAATGATCTGTCTTTTAGAATAGATCCACATTTTTTAAAAATCCCACTTTTCTTTTTTATTAAGTCACTTTTATTTAACTGCTCATAAAAATGAATCTTAGAAAGCTATGCTTAGTTGAAAGTCCATAAAACATGTAATTAGGGCATTGCACCACAGTCACACATCTGGACTGATGAGTTCACTGCAAGCTGACAACCATCTCTGAGGTCACTTGTGAGTCCTGGCCACCTGTCAGAGGCCAGTGGCTGCAGCTGTCTTTTAATGGCCTGGTCTTTGCACTGGTCAAAGAGACCGTCAACATCGGCCAGCATTTGCTGTTAATAGTAGATGTGATAATGAAACTTTTACCAAGCATTTTATATCAGCAAGTATAAATTTGTTTAACACAAGAAGATCTGCAAATTATCAATATTCTGACAGTAAGTAAGTCACACACTTTAAGATTATATTTCATGGCTGGGCGCCTGTAATCCCAGCACTTTGCAGTGCCAAGGTGGGCGGATCATGAGGTCAGGAGTTCGAGACCAGCCTGATCAACATGGTAAAACCCCATCTCTACTAAAAATACAAAAATTTGCCAGGCATGGTGGCGTGCACCTGTAATCCCACCTGTAATCCTCAGGAAGCTGAGGCAGGAGAATCGCCTGAACCCGGGAGGTGGAGATTGCAGTGAGCCAAGATCATGCCACTGCACTCCAGCCTGGGCAACAGAACAAGACTCCGTCTCAAAAATATATATATACGCACACACACATATATATATACACACATATATATGTGTGTGTATATATATATATATATATATATATATATATATATATATTTCATTAAAAAAAAAAAGTCTCCTTTGGGGAGTAGAGAAGTGGCGCCAGGCAGAGGTCTACTTTCAAATCTATCAAACGAGAGTGATAAGAGGACATGGAAGTCTCTAAGGAAACACTTGACCATAAAGATTGTGCTTCTAAACCTGCTCCCCATAGATGGGGCCAAATGCAAGAGTTCTCACCTGTTTTTCTGGAATTTAAGTGTCTTGTCATAGTTCATCAGCTAATTTGCATTCTTAAGTGGCCTCTTTACCTACAGTCTCTTGAGATAAGTAGTATCAAAAGATTCTGAAATCTGAGTTCGGATGTTTTCCTTTTCACACCAGCTGCCTTTTCCCTCCCTCCCTTCCTCACACACTTATTTCATCTGGCTTGATTTTGGGCACCAAAAGAGAAAAAAATCACACACACAAAAGTAAACCTGTCTTTTATTTCTTTTTGGAGGGGAAAATCTGCCCCATTTGTTATTTTCAAAACAGATTATTTTGGGGGTGGGGAAAATAGTAATTTCAGGAAGTAGCCATCCAGGTACCAGCAAACCCAAGCTGAAAACACTGCAGCTGGCCCCAGCTTCCTTGCTCACCCGTTCTGTGGGTGCCAAGCCCAATGCTGAAGTCGGTCTCAGCCTGGGCAAGCCAAGGAGGACGAGTTCCGCTTTTGACTGCAAAAAGTAGATTAAATGGAAGAATACTTTTTAAAATAGTTCACACCTTTCTTTACTTTTTGGTTTCACTTGATTAACTTTCTCAGGTTATTTTTTTCTTAATGGTAAACTTAGGCTCTGGAAGGTTTGGTGTACCCAGTTCAGCCCTTGGGGTTTATTCTGACCAACTTAGCCTTTATCTTAAGTAACTGTTTCTATCACTGTTTATCGTTCCTAATGCCAGTATTGAAACAGGAGCTGATAATATGGGTCCATGCAGCCCTATCAGCATTTTCCTCTCAGCAAAGGTATGAATTTGTGAAGGGGCTGCTATCTGTTGTCCTTATGTAAGTAAGATAAAGGAGTTATAAAATGGGTGTACTCTACTTAGAGTTGATATGAGAAGTCCCACCTGAGATTAGCCCTTGGAAACTGTAAATTAAAAATGAAAACATTGTCTGGAAACCATCACAAGACTTGGCTCTCAGGCCAGAGGAGGGCAGGGAGAGGTACTTCTGGAATGTCAGCTGCCACTCCAGGGTCAGCCACTCCAGCCCCTTTCCCTGATGCCCCCAGAGTGCCCAAAATCTCACCCTGGGGGTCTGCTCCTGGGCTCACGTAGTGGGGCTTTCCAGCCCCCTGACGCATCAGCGGTATCCACGCAGGAACCCCCATAACAGCCTTGGAGCCTCAGTTTCTCTAAAATGTGTCCACCCTTGGGCCTGCCCTGCAGACAGCCCCACTGCACGTGAAGGCCTTCAGGTAGCCAGCAACCCCGGTGATCACCTTTGGGTGGTCCCTATCTCACTGAATTAGGACTCTTGGCTTACAGCCTCACCACCTCATATGACCCTGAATCCCCAAAGCAGGATATGCAGCACCTGGCATACAGAAAATGTGCCGTCAATGCCAAACAAACAAAGGCACAAATTCCTCCTCACTTGGCTATCTGCAGCATCACACCAAAGCCCAGTAAGTTAGAACAAAAACACCAAAGTAACTTTCCTTTCTATAACATGTGGTTCTATGGCAGGACCTCTTTACTCAAGGTAGAAATTGCCAGGAGTCAAACCCTAGAGAAAAAAGAGAACAACTGTCCCCAGACACAGTCCCTTGGCATCTGGCAATGACACGTGTTCCTGGAAAGAGCAACAAGTAGGCAAATAAGGGATTTTACCAACGTGCCCTCCCACCAAGAAACTCAGTAAACACACAAGCTACTTCCCAGTGACTTTTCCATTAGATATGTTTTCCCCCAAAGAGTGAAAAATAAATATCTCTAGGCCTTGGAGTGACTTTAAAAAGAAAACTAAAGCTAGCTAGTGCTATGCAGGATGCTACTGAAAACTCAGACAGCCTCCTATGTTCCTGACAAGGCCTTATCTTGAGGATTTTTATTTAGGAATTGAAAAAAAGTCTAGGAAAACATAAGTAGCTACATAAGCATCTTAGAACTACAAATCCTTACTTGGAACACAGTCTGAGGTTACTTCTAAGATTCTGAACCCCACCTAAGTATCTTCACAATTAACATTTTCTTAAACCTGTGCACAGCAAAGGCCTTTCTTGATAAGATCTGTATTTCTAGAATTAAAGAAGTTGGTCTCTTCTTTAATTTCTAGAATTAAAGAAGGAGGCATAAGCGAGGGTGGAGAAAGGAAAGATGGGCTGGAGCAGACACCCGGTTCTGTGTCAGGATCTCACTAAGTGGCCAGGGCTGGTCTTGAACTCCTGGCCTTAGGCAATCCTCCCTCCCCAGCCTCCCAAAGTGCTGGGAGTACAGGCATGAGCCACCATACCTGGCCACATTCTTTATATTTAAAATGACAAACAGGATATATTTCCAAAGCAATAACACAAATCAATTACCACTGGGTATGCAAATGACAGCAAAGAGCCTTCCAAAAATAGGACAAAAGCTAGATAATGGCAATCATTTCTCCTTTCTTTGGACATAACTCCATCACCTGTCCCAGGTGAGAAACACTCAGGTATTATCTACCTTTCTCCTTGTGCTCTCATTTAAGCAAACAAACTGTCCCCCAAAAAAGGAACTTTTGCAAAGCCCTTTGCAGCTTTCACTATTATTCCAGAACGATTGTGTTTGTGATCTCACTAGCAAATCCCACTGCAACACATCCCAAGGGACTGTTCAACTTATTTCACGGGACTGGAATATTCCGATTGTCTTAAATATTACTTTGAGTAAGTAGACAATTGCCTGAAGCAAAGACTTGTTGGTAAAAGTGTAACAACAAGTTGTATTGATGGTAATGAGATTTGATCTGTAACCAGACTTCAGCAGCCGGGTGCCAGGACCAGCGTCCCTCACACAGCAAGCATCGCAGGTGAGTCTCACGCCCTAACACCTCTTTTAATAAAGGTGCTCTCTTCCAGCAGCACATTGAACAGTTGAAAGCCTGCTTTCCTGATACAGAAATAATATTACTCAGGAAGTGGTGGCTTCCCAATGTGGATGCTTGTCCTGCTTACCTCAGTCATGCACTCTGTTCCTCCTTCCTTCAGCAACCCTGGTGGTGATGTCCAGGGCTGGCTCTGACCCTACAGAAGCTACAGAACCTCAGGGACTCTGCATGGTGGCATCACAGTGACTGTAGGGGTTGCCTTTCTCCCAGGCCCTTGGAGAGTGAGGCTCCGCCTGCTCAGGCTGAGCTGCTCCCTGTGCCCATCCTTGTCTAATCAACGGGGTGGCCCCAATGAGGCTCTGATGGTCCTCAGGAGGCAACATCATAAGAGGGAATTGAGATGCTGGTGCAGGGCTAGTCCACTTAGTGGGGCATGGGAAGAAAACCATACTGGAGCAGCAGCAGAAAAGCAGCCCTCCGCCCCCTGCCATGTCTAGACCGAGAGCAGCAGAACAGAGAGCCTTGCTGGGGCAGGCAGAGGGTGTGCAGGGCCCCAGGCCACTCCTAGCCAAAGCCTGTCTCAGCTACTTTTGCTGTGCTTTCCACGTCTGTGGGAACAGTATCCCAATGGCTGTGGTAGAGGTCACCTAACGTGGGTGAGAGAACCCGCTGAGTCTTCCCTGGGGCTCTCCCTTTAAGCCTCTTGGCCCCTCGAGTTCTGCCCCTTCATTCTACAGCAGTTTGCTGTAGGTATGTTTGTGTTCCAGAGAGCACCAGCCACAAATGTGAATGCATCGCAAACACACACACACACACACACACACACACACACACACCCCAGACTCTGTGGTTAAAATGTTTGGAAAATGCCACATTATCATAGAATCCTATTAAAGACTCCCACTAATCCCACAGCAAGGAGCTCTTTCATTTAATTCAACCCCACGTTCCCCCAGTCCATCTTCCCACAGAACCTTTCACTGTGGAATATCTACCCTGAGGCCATTTGTGCTATGGGGAGCACTCCCTGGGAATTGCAGCTGTGAAATACCAATGTCCTTGTCTATTGGCTAAACTGCATGGTAATCTTATAGTGTGGGTCTTAAGTTGGGTAAGGCAGGTGAAGACAGGCCAGTGGGGAGGAGTGGGGGGATCCAGGCACCAGAGCC